AAATAACTGGAGCATGGGCGAAGCGCGACGGAAGTACTGGGAAATAAATCCATCTGGAACTTAAGAATTAACAAAAATAATACCTACGCTGCTGTCGCCTCGCAAATCGAGGCTAATAACCCTTTAACTCCTACTCCTTCCAACGAAGAAGCTTTTCTACCATCAACCAAAAATTATATAGTGAAACCAGTTCCACCACCCGCCAAATATAATATTGAAAAAATCAAAACAAATATTGAAATAAGCAAAATTGACAAAATTAAAACAACAACACCTATCATAAAGTCTAAAAAACTAAATCCCCCAGAATCACCAGTTCTCAACTCTCAAATTACAAGCTGTCATGAATCCAATCTTTCATACCTCAATCAATCTTCAATTTCAAATTATTCACGTGTGCCCACTCGTTGCACTTCAAATTTACGCAACCACCTAAGTACATATTATTCTGCTGGTAAGAACAAATTACTTACGCATAGCGACGTTTTCGACGGAGACGCTGACATATCAACTTAATCTACTTTCCATTCCGTTTCCATGTCTTCCCTTCGAGAGACCCATTGTAGAAGCACTTTTAATTCCACCCAAATCATATACTGGATACTTCACGAATGCTGATCAAAATTTATATTCCAAACAAGGAATTGGGGTTTTTATAAAAGCAAGTATACCTCACAAACACATAAATTTAAGCTCAAATATACAGGCCGTAGCGATACAAATAATGTTAAACATAAAATTTACGGTGCTTTCAGTCTATATCCCACCTTCGCAATCGTTTTCTCAGCAAGAACTCTACAATTTATTCTTCGTACCTCCCCCCCATGTCGCATCGGCGGTTTAAAGTTAGAATCAACAACCATCTCTCTGACCTGCTAATGAATGGCATTCCACAAGGATCTCTTCTTTCTGTCGCTGTTTTTTAGATCAGGTTTCAATGAAATTAGCAAAATTCTTTGTCGTGTACCTAAAGTGGAACATTATCTCTACGAGGACGATGTATACATTTTTACAAAAGAAAAAGATAGCACGAAGGCAATCAGCATCCTCGAATCTATTGGACGAGAGATCTCCGCATGGGCAAATTCGTCAGGGGCTAAAAAAAGTTCTATACAAAAATAAAAAAAAGCACATTTGTGAAAAGCAGATATGCAATGCAGGAAATCTACTGATGCATGTTAATGACTTACCAGTACAAAAAAATGCAGACGCTCTATATTCTCCGGCTCAAGTTTTCCAATAAATATCGTTGGAAAACACACTATTTTCGGTTAAAAATTTCTATTTTAACAAGGGTGAATTCGCTTCGAAAACCCATGCGCACCATAACACTATTGCTTATAATATCAAAATGCTTGTTTTTTTTAGCAAAATTGACTATGCTTTGATAATTTATGGTAATAGCTACAAATCTGAAATCAACATCCTCTAACCGGTCTATCACCAAGCCCTAAGAGCAAGTTGCTATGCTTTTCGGACGACGCTCGTAATTAATCTTATAATTTTAACTGGTCTCCCGGCTTTAGAAAATAGACTTTATGAGTTAAAAGCTAAAGTAGTCCCGAAGCTTCTTAATACAAACAAATCTTTTCTCGGTGAAGATGTGAGAAAGATTATTATCGCCAAGAAATTCGAAAGTCAGTATCTGCAATTGACTATTGTTTGTGCGTCGCAAAGCAGGTGAACATTCCCTTAAAAGTTTTTCGCTGTTTTGGTGTTAAACCTCCATGGATTTTGAAAGACTGTTCCTTCGACATTTCGCTGTGTATGCATAAGAAAAAAGATACTCCAAATTACGTCTTCAAGAATCTAATAGCTGAAAAGACCCAAGTACTGGGTAGCAACGGTTGAAATCTTTTATACACAGACGGCTCAAAATCTTCTGCTCTGCCAGCTGCTTGTGCCGTGGTAGATGCTTCACGGCAGGTTCTTCTCAATCACATATTTCCCGAAAGTACTTTGTAACGGCCGCGAACAAACCTCGGGTAGGGTGTCTGTCGGTCTGTATCAACCGCAAGCGGCGGAATAACGGCATGCCGTTAGACAAAATCATGCGATTTTGTGATACCGCTAATAAATCGCATGATCTTGCGGTATATGTGTTTATTTTGTTCTTTTCTGATCTCCTTACTTACAAGTACAGGCAAAATCGTATGATTTTGCGGTACCTTTGCTTGCTTTTGCAAGTACAGGCAGAATCGTATGATTTTGCGGTACTCCTTTTTTTTCCTTTTGCTCTTGCAAACATAGACAAAATCGTATGATTTTGCGGGATCTATGCTTGCTCTTGTGAGAGTAGCGGCAAGCCGTTATAGAGAGAGCAACAGGAAGAAGAAGAGGGAAATTGAGTGAGAAGGAGAAGTCTGTCTGCTTTTTAATTTCAAGATAGCAGTCAGTTGAGTTTGAGAAGTTGAAGGGAAAACGTCAACGATAAGCTTACGGACTATTAAAACGAAAAAAAAAACGGAAGAAAGACCTCCCAATGAAGAACCAACAAAAAAAAAAAAAAACACAAGAATCAATAATCGAATTAATAAAAATGTTGCTACAAACCACGCGGCAAAAGCAAAAATAATTTCTTACGTCGATTGCTAAACAGTTTTATTGTTTAACCCATTTTAATTTCGAAGTCCTTTAGTTTGTGAAGGACGGAATATGCAAAAGTAGCTTAAACGAGCTAACTTACATGAAAACGTCGTGTATATGCTAAATAAAAAAAAAAAAAAAAAAAAAAAAAAAAACGATATAAAATATCAGGGCTTCCGTACAGAGAGTCACAAAACGAAAACGAAGTACGAAAATGTTGTATATTCTCAAAGTAACTTTCTAAGAAATTTTTGTTCGGAACACATATGAATTTTACACAAAGAGTAATAATTTTTTTTCTTATGTGAGGAAAAACTTTGAGTAACATTGGACCGATCAAATTGGTTATCAACCTGTATATTAGTGAAACTCCGTTTCTATATTCCTCCATCCAGTTATGGAAATCCCTATAAAGTCAATCAATAGAGTGAAAAACAAGAGAAGCAGGAACAATTGTGCAAGGAAAACGAGGTAAAGAGTTGAGTGTGCCGGTTGAACGTACCAATCAAAGCGCATCGCATTCGTGTATGAATATATTATTTTTAAGTATCATTGACGTTCATAGAAACATATTGGTGGCTAAACTGTGTAAAAGGATATATAACCCACCAACCCTGTATAACATAAAGAAAAAAAAAGAAAAACAAGAGAAAAAAGAGGAAAAAAGGAATTTCTTTTTATATGCTTGCTTTTGGAACAAAAAAAAAACAATATAAATAAATGATAAGAAAAATATTTATATACATATTGTGAGTTGGTTACTGCCATTTAGCCAACACGAAAAAGGCTTTGTCATCTAACTCAATTATTTGTACAGAAATTCTACGATTGTAAAACGATGTTGATTGCCCTAAGAAATTCCTACTGAAATAAAAGTTCACCAGTGAACATTAAATGTCAAAAGAAAAAGTTTCATCATTCTGTGTTTACTTCAGTCAAGATGCGGTAAGAGAAGGAGGATTAATTTGCCAGTTTCGTTAGCCTAGGAATCCCGTGCACCCACGTGCACCTACACCCCAGCCGTGTCGTGATTGTGCCGACGAGGTAAGAAGAACGCCCTGCTTCCTTGCCGTGGACGGGAGCCGCCGAAAGAGGCAGCACTATATCAAGAGAGGATCGTACTGTAAGTCCCTTTAGCTATTTATTCCCTTGTAATTTTGTTGTTCCCAATGAGTGGCTAAGCGCGAGCTGCCACCGCTGTGGCTGAGTCGTAGGGGTGTGCATATGGTGGCTATGTAGGGCCGACGCTAGACGATGACCGACTGACTCACTGGTGACAGACGGACAGCAGACAGCCGACCGGACCTTTACGTTCTTTTAGTTTGTTTTTTTTATTTTTCCTTTGTCAGGAGGCTCCGAGAGCCAAACCCCAGGTCAAAAAAAAAAAAGAAGAAAAAAATATATATCTATATTTATATGCTCTACCGGCCGAAAGGGGCTAAGACCGTGACAACTTCAACTTTCACAACCAAAGCCAGAGCTATCCTTCGCGCTGCGAACGCTTTCCATAAAAACAAACTCAAAACCGTCATTGTTAGTGACAGTTTGTCTGTATTATAAACTATACGGAATCCTTCGACTTCGAGTTGGAGCACCATCAACAAATTAACGAATATCATTACAACACCCGGCGAAAAAATTAAAATGTTATGGGTACCTAGTCATATCGGTTTATTAGGAAATGAGCAGGATGATCGAGCGGCACACAATACAATATATTACTTTATCAAAACTACTAGGCTCAGCATCTAATGTACTTTTATAAATTAGAGCCGATAGCCTGTGTTGTTAGTGCGCAATGTTTTTTTTTTTTAGTTTAAGAATTTATTTCATTAGTCTAAAATTATAATAATAATAATAATGTTTCTATCAAATTTGAAGTCGATATTTTCATCTTTGCGACCAGGAGATTGCCGACAACAAATACCACACAGACGGACAGATATGGCTTAATCAATTTAGAATTTCACGCTGATCCAGAATACATATACTTTATAGCGTCTCTGAAGCTTACTTTTGGGGATTGTACACATTATGAAAAAGTCCATTTTTTAGTGTCAATGCTTATCTACACATTGATGGAAAATTTTTTATTAAATATATCAAAAGCATAGATCAGTACCAAATATATTTAAATGAAATGAACAAGAATGCTGTTCGGATCCGGTCAAGGAGATTTCTCGCCTTATTTTTGTTTTTTTATTGTGACTACCCAAACCACATTCCAAAAAGCAAAAGTTTAATATAAAATATTATTAGCTAAATAAATTAATTAAATTGACACTATTACAAAGCGCGTACAAAATAATATAGTATATTGCAAATAATAAAAATATTAATGTAATAATAATTTCTATTTAGAAAACAGTACACACATAGGCTTCATTATATATTAGATAATAATAATTCTAAACATTAAAGGTGCGACTATATTCTTCTTCTTAAATATAGGAGAGGCGAACGGTTATAGTTTCTAATTAAGGTTAAGCAAGGACGGCAATCCTATTTAAATTTATCTAAATTTGTGCTTATAGAGGTAAGTCGAAGTAAAAAACAAGTCTTGGTATAGCTCACATCTTTTACGAAAATAAAATTAAATATTTTTTAAATAATTGATGGTAATATAACAACTACTGACGATCCACTGTGTTGGTCGACCAAGAAAAAAAAGAAGAAGGACAATGCTGGAAATAAATGTTCTATTTAGTGCATAAGTATATAAAGTGCTTCCATATCTTATACGATAGCATTAATTTAGCTGCTCCTCTTATAATATTTACATATATGCCGAACTATGCTGGCCTCTTTACATTCATTATAGGCAGGTTTGTTATTTTTTTGTGAAAATCTTCCCTAAATTAGAAAATTAGAAGAAACGGAAAAAAAACACCGAAAATTGAAATGAATCATATATAGGCTCAGCTTGTATTTAAAAGAAAACTAACTCAGCTTGATCTGAAAAAGTTTTATCCAAATAATTTTTTTCCTACGCTTAACAGATTGTTATCTTCATATAAATCTCTTGCTTGGAAATACCTTAGGTGTTTATAGGGTATGAATGATCAACTCAAAAATGTATTTAAGTATTTAATAATATTTTCAGGGGGGCGCACCATTTTCGTTCACGTAAATTGAGGTAACATTTATTCTAGTTTTTTCTATATCAATTTTTTCTAATGCAATATCTACACATTTTTTAAAAAAATTTGAACAATTAATCATAACAACTTCACGATTGCTGAGGCCCACACAGATTTGTTATAACCGTATCTATAGGCGGAACAGCGAGTCTAATCTTTGTCGTGGCTTTTGACAGGTAGGTAAAAAACTAGCTGATTGCAAATTTTCACTACTAATATTTAGTTTCCTAAAAGGAGTTGAAGAAGCGTAAATGTAATCATAAATATAGTTTTAAGCACAAAACCAAAAAACAAAAATAAATAAATAAATTTTCTAAAAATATTAATTATACAAAGAAAAAAATTTTATCATAATATGTATGGGATTTGATAAAGATAACTGTATGGGTCTGTTCTTAAAATCATTCATATGAATTGTTAAATTTTCACAATTTTTGCTATGTTATATTAAAATAAGATGTACTTGTGTGTTATTTCATATGAAAAGTCAAATTTTAAAGGATTCATTCTTGTAAATTAAATCTCAAATTGTTTTCGCTTTTCAATCTTTCCATATCGTAGATGAAATTGCCGGTAAGAGCGACAAATAACGAAAGAACTGACATATGCAATTATTTGCTTCTGTCGGTCCAGAAATTTGCGCTAACTCATAGTGCTTTAAAGTTTGGTTTGCTTCTCGCGAAACCAGTTTTACTTCACTCCTGTAATACTTCTCAACCAGGGCTTATAGAAAGTTGTCCGCATATAAATGCCAGGTAAATAAGGAAGAGCGCACTTGATTCCATGCGATACCGTGCCAGCTAGTTCGTATCTTCCATCTGGTCGTTGAAGCACTAAAGGTCCACCACTATCTCCCTAAAAAAAAAAACAAACAAAATTTGGTTTTTTCTTTCGATTTTAAAGATATTTTGATAAAAGATCATTTACTTCGCATGAATCTTTTTGGCCATTAGCATATCCAGCACAAAGGAATGAATTTAATATTCGTTTATTTTGACCGGCTGTATGAAACATCTCTTGACAGACGCTATTCTCTATGATTGGAACCTGCAATGTATTGAGAATTCTTCGTTAATGTGCATCCCGGTATAAGCAGCTTTCGCTTAGACTACCTGAACTTCCTGTAGAACCGACGGTACCCCACCGCCGTATTTTAAACGGCCCCAGCCAGTAACTGTGGCCATGCGCCCCGTAAAATCAGCTTTGTCGGACGGCATACAAATCGGCACTTAAATTTTGGAATGGGTGGTTTCAAAAAAGCATTATGTATACAAAAAATAGCGTACAAATCTACTTATGGCTTACCTATATGGGAATCATATTGAACCGCATTGTCAAGTTCCAAAAGCGCAATATCATTTTCGAACGTTGCTGGCTCGTATTGACGGTGAACGATTACCCGCTTTACGTTTTTAGTGATGGCACGTTTGCTCTCCAAATCACCGGAAATATCAAATTCTCCCATAACTGCAACCAAAGATGCTAGAAATCTAGGAAAATCATTACAAACTGTAGTATTGGCAGTTATTCAATTATTCCAACTCACCCCGGTTGACAATGCGCAGCCGTAATAACGAATCGATTAGTGATTAGAACTCCGCCACATTTATTCTTTGTAAACAAACCAAGCCACGTTGACTCTCGAACTAACACCTGCCATGGATAAGCACCGAAAGTTGACCCTTTTCCTCCTACAATTCTGCCCGTTTTGATCTGAGGTCTCATTCCGCATTCTGTTAATTTGGATTGAAATGTTTAGGTTAGGAAATAGGGAGAGTATAGTAAGAACAAAGATGTGGTCCCGTATTTTATTTGAGCAAGGAAAGAAAGAAGGAAGGAAGTAAGGAGAGAACTACAACGTTTAAAAGTTGAAGAAGGAAGTAAAGAAAATTATAATATGGCCACTAGTTTACTGAGAAGAAGAACTATTTAGTAAATAAGTTAAGTAAGTGATTGGACGACACGGTGATCGAGGAGACGCAAGCGGGTATTTGGATCGCGTTTGAACGCGTGTTAGAAAGGTGTGTGTAGCAAATTAAGAAGAAAATAAATTTCCATTTTCGGATCTGTCCATCATGATGATTTGAAATATTTGCTAGCGATTTAGGAAACTTACGAAATTTACGGCCCCCAGAGCCCAATGGCGTATCCTCAACGTCAGCGATTTCATTTTCGCTAGGATTAGTATCTTCACTGTCTTCTTCGTCGATGAGGTCGTCTTCGACTTGTGCAGCTGTAGTAGTGGTCGTTAATTTTTTGGTTGGTTTTCTAGTACCTGGTTTACGAGTTGTGGTCGTCGTTCGCCTCACCACAGGCTTTTTCGTCGTAGAGACTGGTTTCCTCGAAGATGTCGGCTTTTTAACGGGGGCTTTAGTTGACAGACGTGTTACAGACTTTTTAGTTGTTACCCTAGGTTTATAGGTGGTGGCTATTGTGGTAGGCTTGCGAGTCGATTTGTGAGTTGTAGCGACGACATTTGCTGTGTATTCATCGTTGTGAATTGGAACTGTATCGTTACTTTGCTCTATCAAATTGGCAAGATCCTCGAAGTTTCCTTGAAGAGATTCTACTATTTTATGCACCAAAGTATTCATTTTAGTTTTAAGCAAATGATCTTCAATAAAGGTGGGAGTAGATAGGTCGAAATCATTCGTGACAGCACTGGAGGTTGCGGACATGTTAAGATTAGGATTACGTACAGGTGGAAAATTGACAAAGTCATTGGGAGAGGTGTATGTTTCTTCTTCTTCAATGGGAGATTCAATTTTTTCGCTTGGCACTTGAAAAGTCGGATACGTAGGCGTTGGACCGTAGTATCCAGGAAAAGCGGGTTTATCATCGGATGGTACGCCTGATTCGGTAATGGCTTGCGTAATCGCAGGTCTTATTGGCTGGTCATAATCAAAAGCTCCAAAATAGCCAGCGTCGTCGAAATTACTCACATTATCGGTGACGGTGACAGTGCTGGATGCGGTTGGTCTTGAATTTCCAGCTAATACTAGCTTTGTCAAATCCAATGAGTTGTGAATAGCGGAGGTGCCGATATGATTTGACAATTGATTAAAGTTGCTTGGTGGTGTATTTATCGTTGTCGGCTTAGGAGTGATAAGAACGGTAGGAGCCAAAGGACGAACGGTTGATTGAACTTTAACGAAGCTAGGCTTTTTTTGAGCATTGTACTGAGGCTGCGGTTTATGGCTCTGAATCGGTGCTGCTGAACTAATAATTGGCGGGATCATATAATTGGGCGAAGAGGGAGCCATTTCTTCTGTTGGTGTGACTGAAGCTAAAGTTTGAGCAGTACTCAGTACGAATGAATCCAATTTATCATCAGTAACAATTAATGGAGGCACGTTGCTGTAATGATATTCGACGTGAGTTGTGGGTCTAGGCGACGTTGGACCTGTGACGTAACTGGTAGATATGGAGTTGTTAAGATGTTTTTTCGGAGGTTTAACAGTTATAGGCGGTTGTCGCGTTGTACTTGAGATAAAGTTTTCTATTAGTTTAGGTGGTTGCGTCTTTTCCGTAAGAGGAACAAGTTCGGTGGTACTCGATAGTAGATTTAACGTATTACTAGATGCTGGTGGTTTTGCCGTTGTAGATTTAGCTGGCTTCTCTGTAGTCGTAGAAATATATATTACGGTTGGTTTTCGTGAAGTTGATTCCGAATATTTAGAATATTCGTGGACGTTTGTAGTTGATGAAGAAACTAATACTGCATTGGGAAGCAGCGGTTGGTTGTGATAGGGGTTTGTAGGGCGTTTAGTGCTTGAACTAGGGTACGCTTGACCTAATACAGAACTCTGCATAGCTGTGTTGCTTTCTTCGTTAATCAGATCATCTATATCCGACATGTTTACGGGATATGCAACCCCTATTGCTGGTAACTTACTAAAACTGGAGAGCGGATTGTTAGAAGATGAAATGTGAATATAACTGTTTCCTGCGGCAGGGTTTTTAAGCGGAACATAGGAGTCCCTTATAGTTGATGGTTTATTTGACGAGAGCGGCACGTAGGAAGAAGTTGAAGTTTCCAAAACTTTCTCTTGGCAGGTGTTATATTTTGAGGGTATACATGTAAGATTCGGCTTCGTATTAGGAGAACTCTTGTCGCTAGTTGTATTTTTTCTAATATGAATATAGTTGGGGTCGGTTTCGGTTAAGACATTATAAGCTGGACCGTGGTTGCTGTGATTTAATTGCTGAATAATGGTCTCAATAGAATCTACATGAGCGGTAACAGCCGAAGCGGTGGTATAATTATTAGAAACCGGATTCTTAATGTCTTCATTATTGGAAATCGTATGAATTAACACATACTGATCTTTAGTGTGATCTTGAACATGCTGCGTTTCCAATTTTAAGGGCTTGTAAGTAATTAAAGAAGGCAGTCCTGTATATGAATTATTCTCCGTTATTTCTGTAGCAATTTCGGTGGTAGATGCAATGCTATGTGGTATCAGAGTATGTAACACAAAATTAGAATTCGGAGAAACCTTCTCAGAGAACGATGGCTTAAAGGAGCTTGCGTGAATTTGAAGTTTCAGAGGTTTTTGACTACTGGCGGTTAAAACGTTATTATTGGCATGCGAAGTTACTTTATCTTTGACTTCTCCTTCGTGTTGATAATCCTTCATAGGCTCTTTGACTTCTTCCCCGTGTTGGTAACCTTTTGTAGGCTCTTTGATTCCCTCTCCATATTGATAACCATTCGTAGGTTCCTTAAGTTCTAATGCTTGCATATTACTCGTGTTGTGATTCTTATTGCTTTGCTTGTGATTTCCGGGAGGGGTATGAATTAAGTTTTGTAGCATAGAGCCACTGGAAATTGTGTAATCTTTTTCGATTTGTGCAGCATTTTCAGTTGAAAACATACCATAAGTCTGGGCTGCAAGTTTATTTGTATCTTTTTCATGCTCTTGCAGCTTCTGCTGTTGATAATGGTGATAGTATGCATTCTGTGCGTCGTTAATCAAAGTACTAGTTGCATCCAGTTCAGTAGCAACATGACAGCAAGCTCCAAACAAAAATCCATCCATGCATGCACCTACAACTTCCCCTCCACGTTGGGCACACTCATGATTGAACATACAAATCGTCGTCCCCTTCGTTTTAAATTCCTCATCTCTTAAGGTTTTGCCTGCTCGACATTGTTTTGGTGTTATGCGATATCCTCCAAAGAGTTTTCGACCTTCTTGAGAGAAAAAGAAAAATTCAAATGGAATTAACAGTAGTTAAAATGTATGTTGCGTTGTAGTTAGTACTAATGTGATTATATATAACAAGTAAAAACATTATAATGGGCCACGGCCCGCCAATAAACAGCCTACATGGATTATCTGAATACAGTTATTCACCTAGGTTACAAAGTGGTGACACATATGGGAAGTAATCGAAAGAGTAGTCCGATCCTACCCAATTTCAATGCTCTTCGCTCTTTGGACACGATACGTTCGGGTATACCAAATTTCATCAAAATATCCCGAAAAATTTCGGCTGCAGATTTAACGGAAGATAACAACATAGAAAGACGGGCAAACAAGTTTTGATCAGAAAGTGATTCTATGATGTGATTGATTGTGAATGACTTTCCGAATCAGTCAAAGTCAGTCCGTGTGTCCGTCGTTCACAACAAAAAATCACTTTCTGAATCGATTAGTATAATAAAAGATACAGAAAACCTATATCGAAGGTTTTGCACATAAAAGATATCTGTAAGTTTCTCCGTTCGTCTGCATAATCTCCGATGGTGAATTGAATATTTCGCCCGTCAATAGTCTGTAGTGCGAGAAGGCTTTGCTGCAGGGGGTGTGCATTAATCTGTAGGGTTCATATTTATAATATGACATATCTTATTAACTGCAGATGTTTCAGAAGTGTGTTCGGGACAATTTTTGTGTTGGTCTGTTAACTGGCGTCGAAAGGTATTTTTAATGGGGTCTTAGTCGAATATATTTTTTTTGTTATTTATAAGCGACAAAGGTAATGTTTATATTTATGCAAGTCAATTGTTAATATGTTTGTAGGCGGATTTTTCACTGCAGCTTAAGATGAGCTTTGTAAATGCGCACACTGATCATTTCCACACCAATGTCTGCTATTGATTATGATAATTTATATATTATGTTTTAGTCTGTTGTGATAACGGTTATTATGGATCGCGGCATTCTGCAAACTCAAACTATCGTTAATTTTTGCTTGCATATATTTTGATCAGCAACTTATATTGGTTGGAATGATAAAGTAATGGGAAGTATGAATGTACGGTTAAATTCGATGATTTTGACCTTTCCCTACATAAAATAACATAATAATTTTCTATCTAGTATTATTGAGTTAGTCAGTGTATACAGGCGCTAATCATGGAAAGATCAAAATTGCATTGTTGACATTCATTACTTTTGTTTTTCGATTTAAAGAAATCTACTGCCCAAGACTTTTAGAAGCTTATGGTGATACCACAGCCTATCATAAATTGTCCATTTTGGTGTCAACGGTATAAAGGTGGTGATTTTAACGTCAACGACAAAGAACGGCCTGGAGGTCCAAACAAGCTCGATGGTAATGAATTGAGAAACATATTGGACGAAAACTCAGCTCAAATTTTTAAAAAAACTTTGAAACAGTTTAGCAGTTGGCGAATCAACTTTTACTGCGTATGTCTAGCGATGTACAAAATCAACGATATTTTGTTACAAAAAGAATCAGCAACAGCTTCTCTGCTAAGATAACGGTGGGCCACGCGTTGCAAGAGCTCTCAAGGATACATTCCTGCAGCTCGAATGGAAAGTTCTGCCGCATCCAGCGTACTCACCATACATAGCGCCTTCTGATTATCAATTGCTCAAATCCATGCAGCGTGGCATGCTGAAGAGATGCGAAAATGGGTCGATAATTGGATCGCTCCCAAACAATATCCTTCTTTCGACATGGTACCGCTATGTTGTCAGGAAGATGGAAAAAAGTTGTGGAAAATGATAAAAAATATTTGGACTAATATGTATTGTGAAAATTTTTCTCATTAAAAGCTTTTTTCAAGTGAAAAAATTATCAGAATACATGCAAGCACGTATTAATAATTATAAAAGCTAAGGTTTGAAATTTTAATGTTTGCGGACTTGAAAGTTCGCCGTGATCTTACCGACAAAGGGACTTTTTATACCGACTAAGAATATATCTTTCGATGACACTTGAGATGTGTTTCCAGTACTTAAAAACTCGAAACCCTTTTTGTGTTCTCATAATATGGGAAGTGGTCAAAGCCGTGATCTGAATCATTTTCAATAGGTTTCGTCCATGAGCCAAGATACGTCAGCGTACCAAATTTCGCTAGATAAATAAAACATTGTTACGAAAATCCCAAATTCAGTTAAATGCCAGCTAAGTAATTTTCGTAAGAACAAATTTCCTAAAGAAGGAAAAACCAAATGAGCATTCGCAGGCGCCTCATGAAGCTGCAGGCCGATGAAAACGAATAGCGGAGAAGCAAACAGGTAAAAGCTAAGTGCATATTCGCAGGCTCATCATGCAGGTGCAGGCCGATGAAAACGATTAGAGGAAAAACCAGGCTGGGATTAGACCATAACCATAAATTTAGTTATAATAACATTCTTGTAAAATTGTATATAAATCGAATATTTGTGAAAAGTAGAGTTAGTCTGGCAAGAACGCAGAAGTTGAGAGTACGGCCAAAATAAATCGTAAATAAATATTCCTACTGTTGTGAAACACAAAGTAGTAAAATAAAAGAACTTTGAAGTGTATTTCTTTTGATCAAAATATCCACGATCTAGTGATACGGACTGTACCTTGTAAAAAGCGAATTTCATAACAATATCAACAATTGCTACCTATAAGTTGAAGTTAAGAATACAAGAAGGACGGACAAACTCACATCGATTTAGAAAATTGCATGAACAAATCGGTACAATCAAAGATGGATCTATTTCAACTCCGACTGAGTGCAGCGTACGTCCGCACAAACATAATATATCCTTGTATCACAAGTGGTGTAGGGTATTCTTAGCGTAAAAACACTGTAACTCATAAAAAAGTAATTAACAAGATATGATACTTTTTGATTTTCTAAAAATAATTAGGACCATTTGTTAAAACCTATATCAACCTGTCAGTTTCACAAATTATTAATCGAAGCGTTGTAAAATGAGAATGTAAAGGAAAGAGTGTAGTCGAAATGAGGAAAAGCGCTTTGCGTTATGCGGTGATTACGTAGCAGTTTTGGATTAAGGGATATAAATTAATTGTATACCTAGGGGTTCACGAACATCTTCTCTAATGTTCACACGTGGTATTTTATAAAAATATTTTATATCCTACCCTACTTGAGATAGACCCATCTCCTAGTGTATTTTTGTAGTCACTTTCTGAATCGACCTAAGCTTGTCTGTCCGTCTGTCCATGTGCTCGTCTTGGTATTTCTGTGATCAATTTACAAACCGATATTTTGATGAAATTCTGTACACTAACCTGTTTTGTGCTAAAGTCAAACGCCATTGAAAATGGATTGGACCACCTTTTTGACGTCCTTCTATGCCCGTGACCCACTACATTGTTTTTACTTGTGTTGATCTATTGAAAGTAGGCCCCACCCGCGAAAGCGTAATATTTTCCATCCACTCAAACAATCAAAAAAAAAAAGAAGCAAAATGAACAAACAAACGTTTCTTAAAACATGAAATTTCGTATAATGGAAGAACTGAGGAGTTTTTACTGTATTTTCAACTTTTTATTTACTCTCTCGAAGAGAAATTTTCAAAGTACACACACAAATTACCATATGTGGTATGTAACCTTTACCTAACTTCGTTTTCTCTTTGTCTGTTTTGTTATGATGAAAAAGAATTTATATGAATTTTTACATTTCATTAGTCTTTCACTTTCACTGCTCATTTAAAAAATTCAAATGTATATTAAAAACGTGGATATTTACATTTATGTATTTATGTGAAATAAAAGAAACTCAACATAAATGAAGCAATGGATGGACGATGATGTTCGTATATATTCAGCTTACGATGAATTAGCGTTTGGCATGAGTTTGAACGGAAAGTTTCTTATAACTGACACAGATACGATACAAGCACCGACTGGCTGGGTTCTTACTTACGTGAAAAGTTGTACTGGCTAGTAAATGGCCACCGTGACGACTCATGTACACATATGTCTACATATATTATATCTCTAGCGATATTTATATCACATTTTTTTCTTATATGTATGTATGTATGTATGTACATATATATAACCGTATATACTCAATAGAGGCGCGTAAGAATGAATTACATGGAATCAATTTGCATTTAACACTTAGTGCAAGAAGTGCTAACAAGTTGGTGGAGAGTTTCATTGCGTGAAATAATTGCTCTTAATAAATCTGGTTTCGGTTGACGTGGTTGTTCGCTATATCCAAGCAAGTAAACGCGTATTGTGCATTTGTAGGTATATGCTCAATTTAATGTTTTTTTTTTTTTTTTTGAACTGTTAGCAATAATTTTTTCAGCTATATCATGCTCGATAGTTGATTCAAGTAGAACCTATTTGGGGGGAATATATATTTGAGTAGGCAGAGCACTAATGCAACTTTTTCAACGCATGGATTGTTAGGAAAAAAAACAACTGCAAATTTTATTCGGAAGAAAACTTTTGATTGTTTATTTTATTTATAAAATTGATCAATATTGAGGAATAGCAATTATGCCTATAAACCAATTATCTAAATTGCAGGCGGCTAACAAGGTTTACATTGATATTGAAATTTCAGAAAAACCGCTTTTCTTTCTTTCAAAAGAGAAGGTGTTTGGAATCTCTTCCTACAACTATACTTATTACTCTTATACGAGCTTAAATGGTTTTTTTCCCACTTGCCTATGGCGCCAACCAATCTTTCGCTACTTCGTAAGTATTCCAGCAAAAGACAAACATACTGGGGGTGTAGAAAAACGGCATAGTCGGTTGATTACACTTATTTTTTTTATTTTAGATAGAACTAGCACGTAGCTAGAGTGTCTGGGTAGTTAATAAATTGGTGGTGACTCAAAAACCGTTCGCCTTTACGGTATTTTGATAAGTGGTTTTAATTGAGATACTTATTAACACTCTGTGCGAGCGAAAATATAATATACCGTACTAGGAATCGGAGCTTCGGCTTTCAGAGGGCGGCGCTAAGCTGAAATTACCTCTACACGACTTTGTATTTTATTTACTTTTTCTTTTCCTTTGTTTGAGCGCGGGAAAACAAGACGGATAGACGAACAGACAAACTTAGGTCGATTCAGATATTTAATACAAACGGTACCGCAAGTTGTTTAGGATATAATGATGCATATTAAAAACAAGTAAGACCATTATAATCCGGCAAGGCCCTACACCATATTGTCTGACCCAATTTTTAGTTTTATTATAGAACACAAAAATTATATCTTGTCTCTAAATAAAGCCAGATTTATCAAGTACTAGTATCAAGTACAAGTATTTATGGGGAAGCGGGCCCAAAACGCAATCTTATGTAGTACAAGTTTAGCCCCCACATAGGGCAAGATCCAAAAATTGGCATGGATGGTCCAAATTTTGTAAAGTTCATTGGGTCAATTTCATCACCACATATTAAAACTTAGGCGTTTCTGCTCTAAAATGGATCATTTTTTGTGAAAGTCCTTATTAAGGTTGGATCCAAGATAGAGGCTGAGATGGTCCAAATTTTGTACAGTTAATTTTTTTAATGTTAAATTTCTATTATGAAATAATTTTCGTCATGAGGCCTTGAAAAGTGTATCTTTTTATCGCATAAACATCGTTTTCTTCATATGAGAGAAGATTCAAAAATTATCACAGCCGATCCAAAGTTTTCGTACCAATTTAGAATGCCGAAATACTGCTACTTAGTCACTTTTGCCAAGAGGTGGGTCTAATTTAAGCTCTTCTACCAGTTACGTACGTCTGCACTAACTTATTATATCCTGTACCACAAGTGGTGTAAGGTATAAAGACCTTAGAATTCAGAATATATTTACATAGGGATAAGTGTATTTTAAAATATATGTTGGCATTATGGTCGGTCGCTAGGCATAAGAGAGACCAGTGTTAGTGCTATAATTTTTTTTCGAATTTCAACCAATTTTGGTACTTAGCAGTAGTGCAGTCACAATAAAATACTCCGATTTCCATTTTCTTATAAAAAAAGGAGTAAAGTCACGCGAACTAGTATTAACAAAAAGGCCTTATGACTTATGACGTCCCTGCGCTGTTGGTGTCCAGAGCGTACTTGGGAAGATGTTAAAAGTATTCTGAGCGAAGTTCGCGCTTTTTACTCTATCTAGAAAAGTTCATTTCGGGAAGCTTCTTAATAATCAAGATTGAGAGCTAAGCCTTGTTAAATGCACTCTAAGTCTAAGGATGAATAGAAAAGGCCGTTAACAATGAAAGGAATAAATAACAACAGAATTTGAGATTGATTAACCTTCGCTTCTCATGACGAATGTTAACTATTGCATTGAAACCTTTTCTGGGTGCCCTAAGTATAACTTCTGAAGGGCTTAAGGCCATATAAAGCGCTTTGCTTACAACATCAATCTTAGAGACCACATCTCCTCCTTCTAACCCTATAAAATCATTCAAACTCCATCTCTAAGCCATCTAAAAGAACGAATGCAATTCTCTAGATCGAGGAGAAACTCTTACATATTTTCTATCTATTTACCTACTTTCTATCTTTCACTGTTCGTGTTGCTAAACATTGGGATGCGTAACTGCTTACCCTGAAATCCTTCCATGATATTTTGAATACCTTTAGAATAAAATTGACCGCACAGCCAAAATCATAATTTATATATTCTTGCTGGTGGGAATTGATAACTACATGGTGATGATTACATTTGCAGCAATCTAGCTGACTTGTATACTCCCTTTATTATATTATAATTTCTTTTTGCACATCAAATATATCTATGTAACTAGGTAATAGGCCTATGGCTTTGTAGTTACTTAATAAATGAATAAATGAAGTGAAAATGAAATGATTTGAAAATGAACCTTGAATAAAACTTATTAGGCATTTATTCCTTTACATTCGACTGTGCAATAAAGATTTTAATGAAGGCCAACAAAGCAGTAAGCCCTGCGGGGTATATTCCCTTGATGATAATAGATTTCTTTCAATATGACCAATCAATCAGAGGACCCTCTATAGCTACAATACGTGATCATCAGAGAAAAATGTGAAAACTAATAGGAGGTGACCGCAGCCAATGACAGTTAATTGATTGATTGACTTGCAAGAGTAAGTGTATAACAGTGACATTCTTAACTTTAATTTGGCAACGAAGGCATCGATTTTTTACTAAACAGGTATAAAAAATTTCATATTACCCTAAAAACCAGCAGACACCGTGACTCGTTCTGCAAAGCCATTTGCACCATAGCTCACGCGCCAATGCTACCCAAATCCGTCGATAAACGGCCTACACATTACTACGCAAATTTTGTTATGATCATAAATTGTAACAGAAAGAAGTTGCGATTGTTTTCTTCTTGACTGTGTAAGTGTATGTTTCGTTCATCAAAATACTTTTTGGTGCTCACTTTGCTTGGTAGCTTATAATAATATGTACAACAATAGGGCCACACATAAAGAAAACCAAGTAAGAAGACAGCTGTAATTGTTGTGAGACGAATTTTGGATATGGCCTATACAGGCAAGGCCAGTCTAGTACATTTTTTTGGTTGAAACAAAGTATAGAAGAAGGGAGAAGGATCGCTTCGTCTATTAGAAAAATTTTAAATAAACGATGATGATGTGCAGGAGAATTCAGATTTTCACAATTGCGATTTTTCCGTGTAGATCGTATATAAAAATTCACTTGAGAAGTAAGGTCTGTCAGTAGAATAATTTATTATACAGTATGTAGTGCTATTACCAGCCTTACCAGCAAGTACTTAAGAAGTGTTGCAGACTGAATGAAAAATTTAGTTAACTCTCTAGGTGAAAAACTTAACATGTACACTCATGTGTACATATCTACTTTTGTAAACTAAAAAATTATGAGAACATATCCATCCGTAAGTAGCATTAACTGAACTAGTTTACGATTAAAAGATATTTGAATATATCTGTAAATATACATGTACGTATGAATGCATAGTAAACGTTTTAGCGTAAGAAAGTTATTTACGGTAAACACGATACAGTTGAAATTTATTCAATTATTGTTTTACAACAATTTATTCAGTTAGTCATCCCTTTTAGCTTTCGCCTAAAATTTTCACTATTGTTACATTTAATGCATATAACATTTAATATGACTCGAGCAATACCAATGTGTTCAAAAAATTATTGTTTGTAATTTTGCCTTGAACGTGACATTTACATACACATATATGTATAAGTATTTGTTTATTGGCAGTTAAAAGGTATTTTATCATCGATTTATTTTCACAAAAAAACAAAATAGAAATTTTTTCCTTTTCTTTCAATTTCTGCCCAAAAAGTAACGGGAATGATAAAAAAACTAAAGCAATATTTTTTAGCTAGTTCTCAAACCTTGTAGGATCGCCTTTAATTTCGTTTCGGTCGCAGATAACGTAGTAGTGTTTTTGAATTTTTTTTTTGCTTTCTACGAAGTGAAAAATATTTCGAAGTCATATATCCCGGGAGAAAGCGGCTGATCGGTCACGTTACAGTGAGCTCTTTGAGCAAAAAGTCTCACTCCGCAATAGTTAGTTTTTTATTTCATTTGATTTTTTTTCGTAACAAAACCTAGTGTTTCGCCATCTTTTCGGCATTGGTCTCAAGAAGTGATCTCCGAACACAATTGCTTTGATTTTGTCTACAATTTACGTATTGCAATTGAGTAGCCAAGTAGGCAAGAACAATTACCAATTGAGCAGACACTCACTAAGCTGCGACTACTTCTTATCTACCTCTTTCTGTTTCTGCACTTCTTTTCGAACTTATTACACGAACAAGGGCCATCTCCTGAGTGACTGATCAACCAAAAACAAAAAATGTATTGCTATTTATTCCCTGCTCCTCTTGAAAGCTTTTTTATCTTTATTTTCCATATAAGATCCTAAATCGCAAGACCTGCTATACCTTCTTCATTATTTCTCTCAATCAAATTCTTTTAAAAAAAACTTAGAGTAATTTCTGTGATATAGCTTGTTGTCCTAATGAAAAATGAAAAAAGGAACACGACTATCATAAATTGTTGACGTATGCAAAATAAAATATGGACAAAATTTAATGCCTTATTGCCCTTACCTTCTGTCAATCCGGATGCATGAATAAAAGGCACTAACTGGCCGATTATTAAAAACATGAGGAGAGTTGATCCGGATTTGAGTAATCGCTTCGTTGGCGTTAATAAACGAATAACTTTTTTCATAATTTATTTTGCGGTGCCGGGACTTTTTTTTCAAATATATTTATGATAAACGGAATGATTAAGTGATTAAATACATACATATATATATATATATATACATATATATATATATATATATATGTATGTATATATATATGTATATGTATATTAATAGAAATATTATATTGTTTAATATTTAAGCGCGCTTTCAAAATTAAGAGCAAGAAAATTCAAAAAAGCAAACAGAAGCAGCATATACAGCATATATACGATGTTTACCGCTATACTTTGTTGCGTATTATGTTCCAGTTGGCTTTTGCTAGGAAGCAAGTCCCATTGACTTGAAACGAGAACGTGTTTTTCTTACTCGTACGCACAATTATCGTTAGTTGTTTTTATTTAACATTCGCTGCATAACAATTTTACAAAATCGGACATTAGAGAAAACAAATTCCTAAAGAAATTATTAAAGCAAAACTCATTCGTTATTTGTGCGTTATTTTCTTTTCTTATTCATTTAGTTATTTAGTTTTTTTTTTTTTTTAATTTTTATTTATATATATTTTTTTTTCATTCTTTATTTGCCTGCATAAACTTTTTTTCTTTAATCGTAACAAGAGATCTTTATATATTTTTTACCGATATTTAAATATTAACGTTTTTTGTTCTCGCTCTTTTATATCTTACTATATTCGGATTAACACTTTAAATTCACGGGACGGTACATTGTAGGACAACCGTAAACAAAGTCTGCTAGGTTTGACGGTCTACTTGCAAATGTTTCATGCGCTGACCAAGTTTAAAAGTGGTTTCGAAAGATAACGGACTTTGCTTTTAACTTGACAAACTTTCACTTTAGCATAGAGAGTATGACGGCTACGGTCATAATGAAGTTGCTCTGCTGCAAAAAAAAGAAGAAAATATTTACCACAGATTCTTACAAATATTTTGACAATTTCGAACGTCTTTCTCTGTCTCTCTCTTTCTCTCTCTTTCTCTCTCTCTATCTATCTCTCACCGCTTGAAGAGATATCAGATATGAATTTTATCACAAATTGTTGCGATCGAAACATTCTCTATATTTGCTTAGATGTTTATGCGATTGGGAATATAAACACAGCGAGACACACGTCTGTTCTGCACGCTTCTTGAACAATAACTGAGTGCCTTCGCTTGCTGTGCAGTCAACAACAACATTTCGCGTGGATTATGCTTGCACTAGAATTAACTATGCTATGCTCTCCTATGCAGCATATATTACCACTGTTGGTACGCTTTAAGGGTAAGGTAATCACTTATAATTTGTTCATATGTTCAGCATTGGCTTTGTTTACTAATGAAATGTAATTTCTGGCGAATAATTTATGCATTAAAGATTTCGTTGTATATATGTAAAGCAAGGGCAAGGTCAAGACAATCTTGTAATTATGGTAATCGCTTTTAAATACAAGTCACGAAATTCTAAGATAACTATTATATTCGAACGATTGTATGAATGCATCTCAGATTTGATCCTGTTGAACTATTACTAAAAACTTTGAACTTACTTTCACTCCTTCCTTTTTACTTAAGTCCAAAAGAAAGGAGAAGTGGTTAAAGGATCTTTACTTTAGACGAATCTTCCTTTTTAGATAATTTCTTTCATTCTTCCGAGCTTCCACGAATTAGTCACAATATCGCAATTTTCTACCGTGTTAGTTAAGATACAGTAGTATCTTAATAAAAAAAGCATTGGAGGGGACTTAAGCTGCAGTAGATTGCTTGTTTCATGTCGTCGCTTTTAAGCCGTAGCATTTTATGTTTGTTTTTCTTACGAGTTACGATCAGCATTAGAAAATTTGTAAGGCTACTCCTAGATCTTTCCTAGTGGGGCTCAGCAATTAACTGCAAAGCGCCCGCGACAATTGACATTGGGAAAAGAAAGCATGTTCGTAAAAAGAGTGTCTTTTTACCAAAATTTAATTTTAATTCCAAAACTTTATTAAATCATAAATTATTATATAGCATTACAATTGAGAATCTTTTATCACGTTTTTGGTAAAATTAATATATACAAATTTTGCGATATCTGGGCGAAGAATTAGAACAAGAGATTTTTCTCCTGCCTTCTTGTGAAGTCAACTTCGCATTCCTTAAGAAAGTTTCGCAGAGGGGGCAATACAAATGGTAGTCGATAGTCGCCATAGTCAGGGCTATAAGAGTGCATGTATCGAAACTTCCCAGCCAAGCTTTCTCGATTCTTATCGTTTCAGTAAAGACTTGTATTCTGTGGCATTGTTGCAAGACGGAAGGGCTGTTAATTAATTCTGAACGGTTTGGCTTAACTGGGAGGTTTAATTCCATTGGTGGTTGACAATAAAGAGTGCAAAAGTTCATAGTGAAAAACTTCCTTGCAGTCTCACTGAATACGAAGTCTTTACCCTACAGGGGATCAAAGTAAGCATTGTCACCATTTGTAAAAGCTCCCCAATCTTACACCATGGCTGTTTTCACACATTATGGTCGTGCCTGCTGCATTTCAACAAGTGAAAAAACTTTAGTGGGACACGGTCCACCATTAAACACTCTACAACACCCTCCAATTACTATATATCGATTTTTCAAAATAAGACGTTATGCGAGGAGTGAGCGAAAAAGTGCATTGATCCGATACTTTTTTTTAGTAGAGTTCGTAATTGCGTCAATTAACTTCTGTAACAATTTTCACCAAAATACCTCGAAATTTACGAACATGAGGTTAAACAAAAGAGTCCATGGACAGATATCGGCCGCACAGACGAAAATACAAGCTTAAATCGGTATAATAGAATGTGGGTGTATCTTAAGCCCTTCTAGACGTTATGTACATCTGCACAGAATTAATACACCCTGTACTGCACACAGTGTAGGGTAAAAAAAATATAAATAGAAAGTCTCCGCCGTTTTTCCCGCGGTTCCGAGCTTCTTTTTGTAGCCTGCTTTGTTCAATTGATTCCAAACTGTCATGCGGTTGATGTTTAGCCCCTTCACTATTTCACGACATCTGCGTGCTGGTCTTGCTCAGCAAGACTACAAGTACAAATATAAAGATAGAAATGATATACTTTATACTTTTCGATAGCTAATTCCGATATATCAGCAAGTTACCCATATCCTATAACTAAATTGATTTCAATTCCTAATTTGGTTATTTCTGAAGATGACGTTTTTAAAGGGTTGAGCTCTCTAAAATATAGTTGTGCGCCTGGACTTGTGTGTACTTAATCTTGCGCCGAGTTATATGGCGTTGTCTCAAAGATTTTCAAGCAGTCCTTGAATTTAGGTGTTTTCCCCTTGTGTTGGAAGAGTACTTTCCTTATTCGTATTCACAAAAGTGGAAGCAGACAACTCATCGAGAACTGCAGGGGCATAGCCAAGTTGAGTGTCTTGCCTAAGCTGTTGGAGCGAAATGTCAATCAGCATTTGACCTTTGCCACTACTTGGTATATTTCTCCGCACCAGCGTGGCTTTCGGAAAGTAAGATCTACGGCCACCAATTTGTTAGAGTTTACTTGTTATGTTTTTAAGGCTTTTTCTAGTGGCTCTCGCACTGATCTAATGTACACTGGTTTAAGCAAAGCATTTGATTTGGTTAACCATAACTTACTTGTCTTTAAAGTCCGAGCCTCTGGCTTCCCTTTGCATTTAGTAAAATGGATAAGCTCTTATCTGCACAATAGATCAAGCTTTTGTTTAACTTCGTCAACTCGGACGAGTTCCCCGTGACGTCTGGCATACTTCAAGGCAGACCACCTAGGCCCCATTTTATTTAGTTTATACATTAATGATCTCCCATCGGTGATTAATTCCAGACAGATCTTAATGTATGCTGATGATGTGAAACTTTTTTCTTCCTTCTCTGTAGAATTGCAATCATATTAGCTTCAAAGTGACTTGACTAATTTGGTTGCATGGTGCTCGTTCAATTTTATGAAATTAAATTTAAATAAATGTAAAAGGCTTTCTTTCTCAAGAAGGATGTGATTCACTTTTTGCGATGGCTTAGGGATTCATTTGCAATTTGGTCCCGTACCGGTTATAGGTTATAGGTGTGGCTCTATGCTAGTTGTGTACATGCTTTTTTTCTTTCTTAACTTTTTTTCCCTTCTTATTTGTTTTATTATACTTATGCCCATTAACTAATACAGGATTTACTTTAAGAGTCAATTGATCTCGTCTGTCAATTTGTTTTAGTTGAGTTTCATGTATATGTAGAATAAATCAATAAATAAATAAAAATATATAAATTTGCTCTAGTCAATATGTTAAATGTTAAATTTATTTTTAGATTTACCAATCAGGCAAAATCGGCTTGATTTTCTAATCGAGCTCACTTATTCGGACAACTTCTGGCATATTTGGGGAGACCCTTGAAGATGTTCCATATTTTATAGATTTGGGTATTGTCTTCGAGCCCAAACTGTGCCAGAAGGGATTTTTCAAGAGGTGGTTTTATGAGCTTGAAGATCCGTAGAAGAACTAGAAGTTTATTCATCATCTTGATTTGGGTAATTCTAATAGCGCGTCAACAGTGTGGTCCCCAAGTTACGATTCTGATACTGATTTAATTGAGTCTGTCCAGAAAAGTTTCTTGTGTTTGTTTTACTTGGGCTAGGACAGAGCTCCAATTGCCTGTTTTCTCTATATGTAAGCCGCTTGAAAATGATTAACCTTTCAAACCTTTATAAGCGGACAGTTGCATTTGGTGTCGCCGTTATGGTTAAATTGGTCAATAGTGTAATCTTATCACCAGGCTTACTTGGTGGAATTAATCTTATTAATCCACAGCGTGCGCCAAGCCACTTTATCTCAATTAACTTACCGTTTTATCGTTCGAATTATGAACTTTTTAACCCCTTGTTGCGTGAAAAAACACTGATGATTATTATCGATTACACCTAGTCCTCTTTTAAGGCGATATTCGAATTTAAAGATAAAAATCTCTTTTTACACGAATTTTTTCGTTTTAACAGGATTTTCAATTTCCATTCTATGCATTTTTTTAAAAATTTTTCTGATGCATTTTTTTTTGTTGCTATAAATATTATTATTCTCATCAATATGCATTGTGACTTAGTGTTATATTCTTCACAATTCAGTTAGATTATGTCGATTATTTACGTATATGAGTAGGATTTATTATAGAAATCATCGAAGGATGAGAGGTATACTCATTTCCGTAATGTATGTAACACCCAAAAGAAAACTTCGGGGACCCTATAAAGTATATTCTTGATCAGCATGACATTCTGAATTGATTTAGCCATGTCTGCCCATCCGTGCGTCTGTGTGGAGTTTGTTGTTGGCACTCCCCTGGCCGTATAGATAAAAATATCGACTTCAAACTTGGTAGAAACGTTTGGCCAAATTGCGTAGTGGACTGTAAACTCAACGTAGCTCCGTTTTTTTAAACAAATTTTTTTGGATTTTTGTTCTTTTTGTATGTATGTCAGATTTGGCCGCCACTGAATAATACTTTCTTACTTTTTTTT